CTGAGGTACATTAATTTATATAGCAGGAACAATAAAATAAAGTACAAGAAACACTAACAAAAGCTGTATCTATTAAGAAAAATGGCAACCATTTTGACAGTCCCAGGAAGGAAAGATGGATAAACTGTATCTCATTACATGTTTCCACTTAAGTTTCACCTTGACTTCAAAAAATCTATTTTCTTAGCACACCACTCTTGGATTATGTGTGAATGGGGAATACCTTCTGCTAGTGGTACTCAGACACATATATTCAAATCCCCTTTTCCAATGACATTTGCTAGAGTTCAAGTTTCCCTATGAATTACCACATGAAATGACATGTTTCAGTGTATTCAAGCTGAATACTAATCACACACCATAAAGAAGTGTTTTTAAAAAAGAAGAAGATTTAAAAAATAAAGCCTTTTGGAATTACAAAGACCCATCTGAAGAAACAATGCAGATGGAGCTTGGGAGAAGCACACAGAATCAATCACAAAAGCACAGAGGCTGGAAAGGACCCTGGGAATCTCAAATCCAACCTCCAGCATAAAGCATGTCCAGCTGGAGCAGGTTACTCAGGGCCTTTGCCAGTTGGGTTTGGATGCCTACAGGGATGGAGGTTCCTTACTGTAAAATGGCAGGGATAAAACCTGACTAGAGCTGCTGTTTATAAGACAAATTATGACCCAGGTGTTTCAGTTACTAGCAAAGAAATTTAAACTGCAGATTAGGTAATTGAATTAACTCTGGCCACAGCAATCTGGCATTTCATTTGAAGTGTCGTAGTTCTGTTCCTAACTGCTCTGTCTGTACTTTATTATTATAAAAACACTTCAAAAACATAAGAAGCAAAACCCATAGCAGCTGAGAGGAAAGAAAAAAAGCAAAAGTGATACAGCTTGAATCACATAGATTGAAAATGTCAATGCAACATGTTGTTTTTACTCTTCAAAAAAGTTATCCTCATTCCTGACCTATTTTTAAAAACTTCAAGCCTCTCCAGGCAGAACTTTAAGTCTCCACAGTTCATGGACCAAGTCAGTAATGCTCTAAACATGAACTTTTAAATATTGGCTTTTCAAATAACAACCACAGGAGCAGATGAGGCCAAGTATAAATATTGACCTATGAACAATGACTTAGACTGTCTGCATGACAATTTGGTGTTTAACGGGAACTAGTATCCAGCTGTCAGTTTTGATTATTTTAGTTTTAATCCCTCACACCAAGGTTACACATTGTGTATCCAGCCTTAGAAGTCAATTTCCTTTGTTTCTAACTCTGTAGTAGAAGAGGGTTAAAGCAGGCCCTTCTTCTGAATTCAGTAAAAAAAGCTCTCGAAACAGTGGGAGCCTCAGATACCTGAAAGGTTTATAATTAGTCAACTTCTGAAAACTCTTGAAAAATGCCAGAAATAGAGTACCCATCCAGGTCTCCACGTACCTTTTCCTTCTTAATTATAGAAAGTATAAAAGCAGAACTGAGATCTAAAGCACATTTTGGATACTTTTTATCTGCTATGCAATCTCGGAAGTCATATATCAATTACCTCTAGAAAAGCTGCTTGGAAACTAGAGCCTGCATGGATGAAATTAAAGGGAGTTTTATCCTTGGCTTGCAGACGATGCAGGAGCACCCTGGGATACCACGATTTCTATGCTCTGTCATCCTGAATTTCAGTGAGAGTTGTACTTCAAAGCCTTTTTAGTTTGAAAAATCAGAAACAGAGGTCCAAATGACAATGTTTCCTTGTTATTCTTATTTCTATATTAGAAGATTAACTGGACATTCTCTGTACCAACATCTAATTCAGAAATAATTCATGGTCTCGTACGGAAAGAGCCAGGTGAATGCAGCCAGTCCAGAACCAGAACCAGACCACCCAGCAGCATTCAGACCAGACCATTCATTCCCAGCAGCATTCAGACCAGACCATTCAGACCCAGAAGAGGAGCAAATGCATGAAGCATCATTTTGCATACAGTGAAAGGTCAGATGTTCACATCATGGGAGATGCAGGATATCATGCTTCTGGAATACGCATTCACAAACAATTGAAAGGAATGAAGGGATTTTTTTACCATTTCCTCTTCTCACTTCTAGCCTTTCCCAAGGTCTATAATTTTATATATATATCTATATATCTATATGTATTTCATATTTGTTTGAATACTATGGGATAAACCCCTGGAAGGAAGAGCAAGGCAAGAGAGCTGGTTAAGATTCAAGGGTCATCTATTCCAAGCCTAAGAATGATGCATCTTAATAAAGTGGAAGTCAGGCAAAGATGCCAGGAGGTCTGCATGGATAACAAAGAGCCTCTCAAGAAACCAAAACACAAAAAGGAAACCTGCAGGTGGTGGAAGCAAAAACAGGTAGCCTGGGAGGAATACAGAAGGGTTTTAGAAGGGTCCCTTAGGCACAGGCTAGGAAGCCCTGAGGGAATTAAATCTGGACAGGGACAGGTTTAAAACAGGAAAATCAGTACATCGGTAGTAAAAGGAACACTAGGGAAAAATCTCTCCAGAAGGGATCAGGATGCCTGACTACCCAGGGTATGGAGAAGGCTGAAGAATTCAGTGAGTTTTTTGCCTCTGTCTTGACCGGCAAGTGCTCCGGCCATACTGCCCAAGTCACAGAATGAAAAGGCAAGAACTGGAAGAATGAGGAATGGACCACTGTAGGAAAAGAACAGGTTTGAGACCATCCAAGGAACCTGAAGGTGACTAACTCCACGGGATCTGATGAGATGCATCCTTGGGTCTTGAGGGAACTGGCAGATGAAGTGGCTAAGCCAATCTCCATTGTATTTGAGAAGTCATGGGAGTCAGATGAAGTTCTCTCTGATTGGAACCCCCACTTTTAAAAAGGGAGGAAGGGAAGACCTGGAGAACTACATGTTGGTTAATCTCACCTTGGTGCCCAGCCAGAATGTGGAGCAATCATCTTGGAAATTATGCTAAGGCACATGTTAAATAAGAAGGTGATTTCTGCCAGCCAACATGGTTTCACTATGGGTAAACCATGTCAGACATATTTGGTGGCCTATTATGATGGCGCTACAGCATTGGTGGATAAGGGACGAGCAAGTGACATCATCTACCTGGACTTGTGGAATGCACTTGACACTGACTTGTATGACACCCTTGCTCCTGAACTGAACGGGCATGGGTTTGACAGGTGGACCACTCAGTGGATGAGTGGATGGACTGGCTGGATGATGACATCCAAAGAGCTGCCACCAATGGCTCAGCATCCAAGTGGAGATCAGTGACAGGAGGTGTTCCTCATGGGCTGATATTGGGACTGGCACTGTTCAACATCTTTGTCAGTGATGTAGGCAGGGGAACTGAATGCAGCCTCGGCAAGTTTGCCAACGTCACCAAGCTGTGTGGTGCAGTTAACACAGTGTAGGGAAGGGATGCCAGAGGGCCCTTGGCAGGCTTGAGAGGTGGACCTGTGTGAATCTCAACAATGCCATGTAAAAGATCCTGCACATGGGTCAGGGAAATCCCAAACACAAGTACAGGCTGAGTGGAGAATGAACTGACATCAGCCCCGGGGAGAAGGACTTGGATGTACTGATTGATAAGAAGCTCAACATGACCCAGCAATGAGTGTGCTGGCAGCCCAGGAAGCCAGCCATGTCCTGGGCTGCATCAAAAGCAGCGTGGCCAACAGGTTGAGGGAGATGATTCTGCCCTTCTGCTCTGCTCTCATGAGACTGCACCTGGAGTGCTGCATCCAGTTCTGGGGCACCCAACATAGGAAGGAAATGGGTCTGTTTGAGTGAGTCTAGAAGAAGGTAAAAATGCCCAGATGGCTGGAGTACTTCTCTTACAAAGACAGGCTAGGAGATTTGGGGTTGTTCAGCATGGAAAAGAGAAGTTTCAGGGAAGACTTTACAGCAGCCTCTCTGAACCTGAAGGAGGCCTTCAAGAGAACTGGAGGGAGACTTTTTACAAGGGTATATATTGACAGGACATAGGGAAATTCAAATGGAAAGGGGAAAGGTTTAGATTAGATATGAGAAAGAATTTTTTTACTGTGAGGGTGGTGAAGCACAGGAAAAGGTTACCCAGAGAAGTTCCTCAATGCCTCATCCCTGCAAGTGCTCAAGGCCAGGCTGGATGGGCCTCTGAGTAATCTGGTCTAGTGGAAAGTGTCTGGGCCCACAGCAGGGGTGTTAGAACTAGATGATCTTTAAGGTCCCTTCCAACCCAATCTGTTTTATGATCCTGTGATGAAATGCTAATCTCTAGCAATTCCTTTGTGCAGATGTGAGACAGGAAGAATGATCCTTTACTGCATTTATATAAGTTGTTCCTGACATGAAGGAGAAGGGCAGAGAGACCAAGCATCACTGAGTGACACTTCAGTGTGTTCAAGAACTGGTGAAGCTTACCTTATTGCCCTGCCTTTTCTTATGTGTGCATGTTTCACCTCCTTTAGGTGTCCTCTATATTCTGTAGGAGAGTTTCAGAGCTACTTCAGAACCTCAGTCAAGGAATAAGAGCACTGCAAATATTTGTTGTAGGTTATGTATTTTACTGAATTTGTTTTTCTGATAAAGCTTGTCTTGAGGGTAAAGCATTGCACATTTCCAGTGAAATACATAGACCTAACTTTGCAATTTCACTGAGGGTAGTTACACCGTGTGATCAACCTTGCTCTGGCTGGTTTGGGTGCAGAGTTACAAAAACAAATCAAATTTCTGTTGAGGTACCTTAAATACAAATTAAAAAATGCACAGATTGACCTTTATGTCACTGAATGAAGCCTTATATTTTTAGCAGTTTTGGCAAACTGGATCAGGAAAGGAAGGTAAATATTTAAGATGATGTTCTTTAGATAGGCAAAAAGAATAATAAGACAAACTGAGTTAGATGTGAAATACCAATCTAACTGCATAAAAAGCATGTGCATCACAGCCCAGTGCACATGCCAAGCCTGAGACATTTGTTTGATGCAGACAGTATTAGCAAAAAATCCAGTTTTGTTAAACAAAGCCTTACCTTTCTGCAATGGATCTCCTTGGGAAATAAAAATCCTCTCCTGCGAGGTAGGCAGCTGCAGTTCCACCTCCAAAATAGGTTTTCCTCAAGAGGGGAGCAATCCTGTTGTTTACCAATAATGCTCCTAAACCAGTTGGGAATCCAAAGATTTTATAGAATGAGATGGGGATAAAGTCAGCTTGGTGAACTCCCAGGTCTAATGGAGAACTGCTTACGTATGAGGCTGCATCTAGTAGAACAAACCACTTCCCTGGTATTTTGATGGGGCAGAGTTTTCCAGATTTTATGTCCTGTATCCATGAAAGGGGATATTTAGTACCAGAAAAATTGCTCTGAGCTGGGTAAGAGAATAGATGAGGTGTTGTGCAGTTTTGTTCTTCGGTTGGTAACCTGCTTTTTGCTAACAAAATTTCCTTTGGTTTTATTGGAACTGACAAGACATTCATTGAAGCAGTTATGCCCCTTATACCAACCACAGATGTATGGCTGTCAGTTAGGTAACAAAATCGACTGCTGGGTTGCTTTGTGCCTTCAGGTATCCAAGGGAATGATTCTGCTATCAGTTTAAGTGCAGCTGTGCATCCAGATGTGAAAATGATGGTGTAATCCTCAGCAGTAGTGTGAAAGTGTTGCAATATTCTGAAAAATGAAAAAAAGAAAAATATCCATTTATTTCCCAATTTTTCTCTTTTATTGCTGTGTGATATATTTTTGTTTTCCTCACCATAAGTTCTACTCTGACATCAGATATGAATAGAAGTAGACAAGTTTTGCCAAACAGTACAATAAACTTCAACAAGGGAACCTGAATCATTTTGCCCACAAGAGACTCTTTTCAGTGTTGAAGTAAACGTGGCTGTGTTCTTAAGAAGCCAATTTGCCTGGCTGCAAATAGAGTGGCCAGTCTGGTCCCTCATTGGGATCAGAATCAAGCCTGCATATAATTAAAATTACACTGTCCTTCAGAGAGACCAGTTTTATTTGCAAACTAGGAGGGTTTTCAGTTTACAAAATACTTAGAGCAGACAGAATATGTTTCAGTTAAGATAATCTACTTAAATAGTGGGCATCCAAATTAAGGGTCACAGTATTCAACAGGGAAACCTTAGCAAACAGCTTTGTTCCTTGCTTATGTTATTAACAATAAAAACAGAAGGCAGCAAGACGCAACACACACTTCCATGGGCTTTATGCACGTAAGGCTGTAATCTCTGTACTCCACAAAGGTAGCCCAAACCAGAAGAAATCTAATGTTTTCCAATAAGCCAGCCTATGAAAAGCAAACTGGTCTCTGGAGGCATGTCTATACTTAACACATTCTTTGTTGGCTTTAAACCACCTTTTGTGAACACCATCTAACACAGCTTGCGGTACTCATGCTAGGTTGTGCATCTATTACAGTTTGCAGTGTGCAAGATTAGTCTTTTCAGAGGCTGAGAAACAGCTTCAATTCAGTCACCTTTCTTACCTCTTTCACCTGATGGACTTTATCTGAATTAACTTTATAAAACTCCTGCTAATATAAACAGATAATGTAACAAACATCTGAAAGACATCAGTTTCAGTGAATGGAGAAAAGCAAACAAAACTGAACCAGAATATATATGCTACTGCTCAGAAATGCTCTCAAAGCAGCTGGCATTCTGATCTGTGGAATTCCAAATTACAGACCAGCATTTAGAGTCTATGAACCCTGGTTTCCCATGTGTATCACTGAAAGTTTGCATGTTTTATACAACAGGATATTGCCTCACTAGAAGAGGCAGAAAATGAAGATAGAGGTGGATTTAAATATAAGTTGCACAAAAGATTATGTGACAAATTCAAGTTAAAAATCCTGAAACATAGGACAGTGGTGAAATTTCTTAAAATTTCATTCATCCAGTCTGAAACACAAATGCTACAAGGAAAGGGTCTTAGAGTTGGGTGATGGGCGCAGCAATCAAATATTAAACACTGGAAAGGAAATTATTGCAGTGGCTTTGATGATTTGCACTAAAAATCTACCCTAAAAAGGCCCACTGAAATGATACGATGAATACTTTCCTGAGTTGAAGAAAACTCTTATGGTACTGGGAAGTACAGGATACAACAGATGGATACACATGAGCCCAAATGAGACTTCAATTTTTGAAAACTGATGCAAATGATAGGTATTTTATGTCTTCTGGAAATGAAGAAAGAGGAATATTATTATTTCTGAAGAAAGAGGAATTATTATTAGGAGCAGGAGGAGGAGGAGGAGGAGGAGGAGTAAGAAGAAGGTCACGGATATAGGCTTTAAACATTCCAAGAGAACATTTGAAAGAATTAATAAGAATCTTTCTGAACCAGACTTGCCAGGGGATAGTTACTGCAAGCCTTCACAGCTCTGGACATAATTTTTAAAGACTGTCTTCACAAAAATCAAACTTTTCCATTAGAGTTTAGAAATCCTGTTAGTGCTGAAGACAGGAACAATCACAGATGGTTTTGTATCGGGTATTGAGCTGACAACCTGCCTCGTTCATCGCTGTGACCTGCTCTCTCTGGTCATTGAATCACTCCCCTTTCCCCCTGCACAGAGCCATACAGCCCTTCCCTCCACCACCTGCTTTGCAGCCTGGAGCACTTGTATGTGTCATAGAGGACACCTGAGTGAAGGAACCTGAAACCCTTAACACAGCTGCCTCCAGGGTTGACACTCAGAACCATGCCCTGAATTTCAGTCCTGATATCATTCTGCCTTTATTCTTCTTTCCTTGCATTTACCTAGATACAGAAAAGGTGGAAAGCAGAAAAAGCAAGAGTCCTAATTTCATCTTCAGGGATAGAAGGAAAGCATTATACCTCTGTTTCTAGAGGAAAGGAATGTGGAAAGTGGATTAGAAAGGAGGCTGGGTCTTCGTGCTTATGGGCATAATTTTTTATGGATTATCTGATGTGGTTATTTTTGTATACTCTACAGTCATATAGGACAGATTTTAGAATCATCACACTGATAAAAACAAAATTGCAAAAAGGTTGTGCAATTCCAAGAAAAATCAACAACACCAACAACAAGGTATCCAACTTGGTCTATTTTTACTTCTGTGAGCTGTAGGATGAGTTATGTATTCACATATATGTGAACACAGAGAATACATTTTGAGCTAAAAAACTTGGTTATAGTAGCAAATTCCTAATATATAGCATCTTTTCATAAGAGCAGGCTGACAAGAGCAACAACAAAAAGCAAGCTGAAGGCTATTATCAAGTCTCCTCTTTTACTCTCTATAATTTCTCTGTTCTCCTCCCCACTCACCCTCTTTGTGCCACACAGGCTCAGTGCGAGGTGAGACACACTGGGTAAAAAGCAGACTTTTGCAAAGGAATACCACCTGGAGTTCTCTATTGGAATTGTACTTGCTTACCACAATACTTAATTTGACCAAAAGGCACTCTTAAATGACTATAGCTGGAATGCAAAAATGGCGGAATGGGATTTAATAACGGGATGCTGTCATCCAACCATGAATATCAGAGACAGTGAGTACTTTTACTAAACATTTTCAGAATTCTACAAAACAATAAATACTATTTTGGATTGTTGAGGCACACAAATAGTGACAGCTCTGTGTTTAATTCATAAATGAATGAGACAAAGCTCACTGGTATTTTAACTGTATTTAGTTTTAATCCATTCAAATGCAGAAATAGCAGAACAGTTCTGAAATAAAACCTCTGACACAACACTGATGTATTTTCTATCAAGTTCAGTACCAGAAACTGACTTTCACATGAAAAAAATCAAGCTTTAGGGTTAATTTTCAGAAGTCTCCAAATAAATTAGAGGCTTTTTTTAAAGCCATTTAAGTTCCTAGAGCTAGAGAAACAACCAACTTATATTTCTAGTTTACTTAGATAGGAAATAGATTCTTTTGTGAGTCAAATTAGCTATGAATTGCATTTGGAGTCTCCAAATGCCTTATAAAATTGCTGTGACTCCAGTACTTGCAAAAGAGGTGGAATTTTTAAGGTCAGACTTACATTTTGATTGAACTATTTCTAACCTTGAAAAGGAAAATAAATAAATAAAGCAATAGCAACTGGGTTCAGGGAATTTTCTTCTCCAGAATGACTTCTCATGCACAGACCAGAAAAGCAGCAAGAACCTCAGAATAAGGTTTATAAAATGGATACCACAAACTCCTGAACTAGAGCAGCACTGCCGTGATAAAATCAGAGTACTCAGGGATAGAAAACTGCAATCCATCTCAATGACTTCTGCAGCCCACAGCCCTAGATCCTATGTTTTGACATGGGAAGCACTGGCTATTACACACAAAATTCCTAATGCTATCTGTCTTTGTGCAAGGCATAGCACATTACAGTGAAATGCAGTACACCGTTATTACACCCTGGGAAAATTTATTGCCATATATTAAGTCGCCGTTGGCAGCAGGACTAAAGACTTGTGGTAGAAAACTGATAACTTGATCTACTACAGCTGACAGCTGCAAAGAGCAGTAGCATTTTATAGTGTTACTAATTCCCACTCTTCAAAGGACTCCTAGAGAGAAATGACTAAGAGGGTAATTGTTTCATTAAACATGGATACCACCGCACCATCACTTGCAAGATGGCAGAAAGGCTGAGGAACTGGTCCCTTGCTGTCAGGCTGGCAAGGTGAGGGAGGAAGCTGCAAGCTCCATCTTTGCAGAACACTGAAGGCCCACCACGAGCAGCCACCTTTTCTCCTTGTCCTCTCAACGTCCCCAGGAGCACAGATTGTGACATAGAGCATGCAGCCTGTCCAGAGGGAAGGCACTGAAAATGCCTTCACTTGACCACACTTCCCTGTGTGTGTTTGTATTCTGAGACCTCTCTGTTAGCTGGAGTTCAATCATTTTTAAAAACTGCCTTTGTATCTTTACGACAATAGCTGAGCCAAAATCCCTTTCCACTTCAATGTAAACACTAGTAAAGAAAGTCAATTTTCAAACCAACCAAGCCCGCTTCTCATTTTATACTCTTAATACACACAAAATTAGTAATGAGTTTCATACTCAAACATTTCTATAATCTAGTCATATATTTAGAGGGAATAGTTGCATTATCTAACTTATCCAAAAGCCTGAACTAATAGTTTAATTAGAGCTATCACTCAACAGTGCCACTGGCAGCTCTGCAGAAGGTAAAAGATACTATTTGTTCAGCTACCTTAGGGACACTGTGGCAACCAAAGTTAGACAAGAGAGATGCTCTCCAAGGCTGCTGCCTCACTGCTCTTCCCTCATGTTCTTCCTTGCTTTTTCCATCAGCTCTTTGTAGCTCTCAGCAGAAGATCAGTAGCAAACAAACTTATTTCTATACTACACCATTTCCATTACAGCCTCCCAGAATTCAGCTGATTGACATGGCTTTTCTTCCATGCTGCTAGGCTTAAAACACTTCTAAAATAGGTTTTACATCAATTTTTCTCTATTCAAATCTACCTTATGAAAACAGCTGTAAAAAGCTGAAAAGCAACCTATATTGCTAGACTTCTTCCCTCCATACTTTAATTCCAATTGGCACAAACATCTATTTCTAGTTGGCAAGATCAAAATATGGTCAAAGAGTTTGTGGTTAATATGCTTTATGTCTGTATTCACAGTTTTATTTCCTCTGTATGAGTT